TGTCTTTAAAAGGAGCAATTTGAAACAGCTGTTATTTTTATAAAATTCAGTGGTACAAATATAATTTTTTCACCTTTAGTCTATAAAGAAATTGAAAAAATAACTGCACACAAAATACTATCTCTAATGCATTATAGAATTAAAAATTAAGTTCTACAAGAGCTAAACTTTTGAATAAAGAGCCATCCAGGTGATCAGACAAGTAATTAGCAAGCCACCTTGGAAATTTGTCTGCAGGTCATTAAAGATGTATGTATTTTCTAGATACTTTCTATATATTTTCAGTGATTATTAAATATTATATTATTTAATATTTATTATTAAATTAATTGAAGATTTGGATTCAGAAGAATGAAGAAAAATAATAATAATGGTTCAAATGAAAAGGCAAATGCAAGGCCTGTTGTAGTTTCTGATTACAAGGTCGACGTGAACTACATGATTAATCAAAGTAAACAAGAGTGAAGCTACACGTTTTTACCGAAAGTGAGTTTAAGCTTCAGCATTTTTAAACTAGCATAACCCAGCGGCACTGGTTTTTCAGTCAGTGAAAAAATAATAATAAAATATGGCAATTATTTGCTCAGCTTTAATCGTCATAGTCATTATCAAGCCACAGCTGAATGAAGCTCTGTTTCCCAGTTAAAGTCCCACAGCCAGCTGTAGTAGTTTCATGAATTGCTTTCTTTCATCTCCTCTCTTCATCCTGTGGGACCCATGACTCCATTTGTGGGAGTTTTGCACATATGGAGAGATATCAACCCCCTAGACTATTCTCTGTGGTTTTCAATTTTTTATTATTTTTTTTTCACCAATCAATTTCAATTCTTTGATTGTTTCTCATGCTTTTTTTGGTATCTCGAGAATCTGTGAGCACCTTGATTCAGGGATGCACTGTACCTGATGAGATCATACTTTGATTTTGGCCACCCTCAAGCTCCTACAAAAGAATGGAAAGCAAGGAAAAGGGTGCAGATACTTGGGGCCTAGATAGCAGGGAGTGAGCATGGTAGAGGCAGCTCCCCACTACAGTCAGTACATCCAACAGTGGGATTAACCTGAACTTCATGGGACAGCTGTATGGGTAAACAAGGAGATGATGATGAAACACCAACATGGGTCTCTCATAAAAATCCTTTTTAGATTGAGATCATTCAAATATTTACTATAATTTCTTAAGACCTCTGAAAGTGTTTAGTATTTCATTTCTATAGTGAAAAGGCAGTTGGTCTTCCAAGATAGATCTCTCACTTCCCTTCTCGTATCTTCTTTTTCACCTCCTACTGAAATGAATGACAGCTGATCATCTGAACAATTTTTATGAATTGAGCTGAAGCACTGAAGGCATCATTTTTATTACATTCATTTGCACCTCAGGTAACACTACTAGCAACTTCAATGTGCTTTACTTCTCAATATGAATTAAAATCTAAAAGATTTGAAAGATGGACTATATTTGAACACAGGAAAATATAACAGTTCAAATTGTGTTTGACAAACAGAAAACAGAATACAGCAAATAAAACAGAAATTATACAATTACAGTCCAGATAATAAAGATAGTCTTAGCTGTATGAAAGTCAGTACTGCGGTGATGTATGCTTTTCCTCTTATAAAAAAATTGTTTCCTGTTTTAAGTTTCTGGCCATGAGTTAGGGCTCCCCTTCCTGCTTGTTCTGTAAGCTATTGTAGGATATTAATTAAATTGCATAGGAATTGGTTTAGCTGAGTTTTAAGCTCAGTCATCCAGCTAACACCACTAAGTATGCTTTTATGTATAATCACTTCATTGAGTATGAACTACGTTTGTAAATGGATGATCCTAAGATTTCCCTCTCTGACAAGATTATTGCAAAAGTACACCAGGTAGCACATGTAAAGCCCACAGCTGTCTTGTCTGACAGAAGATGTTAGCACGTGTAATTGGACGTATTTTATACCTGCAGCTTATTTAAGGAAGGTTGGAAATGGAACACTTCTCCTTCTGAATCAATAATAATAATAAAAAATAAATAATTTTAAAAAGGGAAACTAAGTATCTGATAACAATATCAATTTATCTTGACTGCTTTTGCACCAGAACTTAGACTAACACATACATAAAGCTTTGTCAAAAATAACTTTCTCCCCCATCCTACATGAATTCAATGTCCCCAGTGTAATTTATTGTAGTGTTCAAACTGCATTTAGCTGGAGTACTTCCAGCATGTCGTTTTTGGAACCACCCAGGTCTTTCTCCCTATCAGTAATTTCTTGCTCATGCAGAAATCAAATGTCTGAGTCACATACTAATCTTAAGTCATCTGCTTCATTTCTGTAATCCAGTTATAGTTAGTTATGAAAATTAAGCCTCACCGTGCAACACACTGATTATGTATTCATTTGGAAATTGGAAAAAAAACAAACCTCCACTTCAACACTGAATTTCGAGGAACTTAACAGAAAAACAGAACCGAAGACCACAGCTGTTCCAGCAGCACTTGCAAAGGAAGTCCAGAGATTTCCAGATTTCAGGGCTTTCAAGGACTGTTAAAACATTCAACCTAACCTACGTAGTGGAGGCATGAATTCCCACCCCACTGCTCTTGTATTAGTCTAACTGGTAGCAAGCTGCTTAGAAGTGGCTTGTTGTTCCAGGGGCAATATTTCTCCTATAAGCTTGTGAAAATTATTACATTTATATCTGTTTTTTATGTCAGTTTTTACTGAAATTACATAGGAAAGCAACTAATTATGCTGCAGTTAATATTATTTTTTAATCCAGAGATTAGAAAGTTTATATTTACCATAAAAGGTAAAATACCAAAGAAAACCATTTATTTGAGAACTATTGTTACCTCATTAGTGCTCTTAAATGTTAGCAAATCTGACTTGCTTTTTATCACACCCTACAAAACAAGAAGTAAGACTGATAAGAGATGTGAATGTGATTCTAGTATTTGTGGCTAGCAGGGGAAAGCAGCACATGTATTCAGTTCTGTAAGCTTTTCTGTCAAGAATCCTATGATGAAAACAATGTTTACTTCTTTAAAGTTGGCCAAGGAAAAGTAAGCACTGAGCATTTTCACAGTCGTAGAAAGAAGAGAAGCAAATCTGTCTCCTCAAAGGTCATCATCTTCTGTGTAAATCACTCAGCTTGAAACAATATGCTATCAATCTTTCATTCCTGCAACACACACACACAGACAGAAAGAAGGGTAGCTGGTTAAAAGCAATCAGGATAAAATTTATCTCTGCTTTGCACTCTTTTTACTGACTTGAAAATCTGCACTGTAGAAGGTGATTTTTTTATATATGCATGTAGTAAGAGTAAACTACTATCTCAGATACCTCCTGGGCCTCTGAAACTCTTTGCTGCCCTTTCTGCTCCAAGTGTAAACCCAAAGCAGATTCCTGAATACAATCATGCCAGTCCTGTTCAAAACCCTGTGGAAAATGCATTGCACAGCCACATATATAAAGACTAACTTAATGTAGTGGGGGGAACGAGTAAACGCAGTAGAATTTGAGGTTTTGTGAACTTCATTAGCTATTTTTTAAAAATTCTTGAGGTTTAGCAAAACTGAAAACCAAATGTCTTAGGAGGACAAAAAAGCCCTCTCCCTCCTTGCTTGGCTCAGACCCCTGGACCTGCGAGAAAGGGGAAAGTTCCTTGGCTCCCACTACACTGCAAGACCAAGGCCAGCCAAATTGGAAGGAGCTTCCATGGCAAATGGCAAAGCAGTGATGCTTGCGTTGGCATTTTCTGCTCTAGTGACAGATTGAACCTTTTGAAGTCTTCTGTGTTTTGAAAGAGCAACATGTTTTCCTACTGGAATTTCAAGTGGTGATGACAAAGTAGGTGATTTTCTACACTTCATTCTCCGTACATTTTTATTTTTAAAGCAAACAAAACAAAACATTGATGACATTTGTCCATCTATACATTTGATGGGGCTCTACCCTCTGGATTCATTACACTTCTCAGAGCCCAAACCCATGCCTCTTCTCATCAGCTGCAGAATCCTTCCACAGATGTTGTGCAAACGTGCTTTCAGCCTCAGCAAAGCAGGGATCCTTCTCTTCCCGTTTGAATTCTGAAACTTTTCTGTGCTGCAGGGCAGGACCCACCACAGGTAATTCATTCTCTTGTTCCACACTGAGCGGGCTTGCTGCTCCACAACAGGACAAATGATGAGTCTGAGGGTTGCTTTGGGAAGATATTTTCCAGACTTCTGCAGTTTGGGAACAAGACGTGAGAGACATGTTTTGTGTGCTGGTTGTATTAAACTGAGGCATGGCTCCGTTCACAAGAAGCATACCTCGGACAGCCTAGTGCCAGGTCAAAGGGGATCAACGCTCCCACCAGGACAAGAAAAGGATGGAGTGCACCCTTGAGGAACTTCTGATTGGCCCCCGACGGGCACTTTACCAACTGGGTGACGGTGCCCAGTTGAGTTGCCAACGCAAAGTAAAAAGAAAAAAAGGTTGAGAAGGAGAGGGTTCTGTGCTGAGGAAGGCTGAGCTTTGCCGCAGCACAAGCCTTCAGCTGCCGACGTACAGGGCTGGTGGGACCGCGGCTCGGGAAGCCCAGCGGCGGATCCCGGTCGCGCACGGTGCCTGGCGCCGCCTCCCGGGGAGCTCTGCCGCGCCGCCCGGCCGCGCTCCACCGTCCCGAGAGCCGCCGGTAATCGAGGAGCACAACACCCCGCCCCGACCGCCTCTCCTCTCTTCTCTCCTACCCTCCCCTTCGCTCCTTCGGGGGACCCAGCCACCCAGCCCGCCTCCCGCACCGCCCCGAAGCGGGGCGGTACAGGGCAGGGGGACGGGCCGCCATCGCCCCGCAGGTAGGCGAGGGCGGGCGGCCCGGCGGGGAGGGGGCGGCAGGGGGCCGTGTCACTGCCGCCGAGGAGCGAGCCGGGGGCGCGCCCCGCCGCCGCTGATTGACAGCGGGGCCCGGCCCGCAGCCTATAAAGGCGACGGCGCGGGGCGCGGGGCCGCGGAGGGACGTGCGACGGCGGTAGGGCACCGCGATCCGCTCCGCAACGCCGGCAGCGCCCCGGGAGCAGGCACTCTCGCCCCGTCGGCTCTCCTCATGCCAGGTGAGGCGTAAGGCGCTGCATCTCTCTGCAGGCTGATGCAGCTCCGGACAGCTCTCCCGAGGCAGCGTGCGTGCCTCTCGAGTTCTAGGGGGGGTGGAAAGAGGAACCTCCTGCCCCTGGGTGGGAGCTGTCCTGGGGGAACCCACAGGGAGCGAGAGCTGGGATTGAGCCGCTGCCCCGCGTTCGTCGATGTGCGGCTGTAGCCATAGTACATCGAGGCGCTGAATGGTAAGAGCTCCTGGAGATAAAAAAGATCTGTATGAGAGAGGAAATAGGTGGTATCCTGAGCGCTTCCAAACGTGCGCGGAGTGTTGGGAGTGCTGATGGGTGCATGCAGAAAAGGGAACGTCTGCACGTTCAAGCTACCGCCGCCTGCTCCATTCATTGTGGGAGCGCACGCATATGGAGATGCAATTATGTGTCTTGCGGTTGTACAGCGCTGCAGGGCAGGAATAGCATCGTGTTGAAAGGCACTTTCTCCAGCTATGATTGGGTACAGTACGTTGTAGGAATGGATAATGATATGTGTATGAGAAAGAGGAGTTTTTCTGATGATACTGGGAAAGGTCCTGGAAGCCAATTCCAGTAGTCAGAACTGGCCTTTGTAAGATCCTGTATCCTACAACGAATTGCAGATGAACAAGAAATTTCAGCGTTTTGATCCAATGTGAAGATGCAGCTACTTAAGTGTTGTCTTATGCAGTACTATGTGGTGGTATCTATGCCACATGGTAAAAACCACACATTTTTCTATATGGCTTTTTTTTTTTTTTTTTAAACTCCTAGGGCCATTTACATGGAAATGAGCCTTATTCATCATCCTTTTGCTTGATGTCATAATGCTTTACTTCTGGAATAAAAATAATCCCAGAACATGTGTGACAATTGTTAGGGAATATAAAAATTTTGATTTCGTATGTGTAATATTTAATGAAAATTCTGTTTATGGTGTATACTGTGGTTAATTAAAATATTTGTAGTTGATAACAATTATTTTCCTAATACTACTTCTTTATTTGTAGGAGTTATGCTGCAGAGGAGCAGGCTGTTGTGGCTTGCTGTCTTGATAACCCTGTGGGTTTCCTCAGATGCTCAGGGTAAGTTTTAATGCTTCTTAGACTAAGTCACAAACCTGAAATCTGGCTTAAATAGACTTGCCTGACTTACAGTGGACACAGTAATTCTGTAAGACTTATAAAAAATCTTGGAATTGTAGTTGCTGGGTCTTATTTTGATAGCTGCATCTAGCTGCTGCAAAATGGAGATTCCATAACTAATAACTAAAAGCAGTTTTCTGTAGAAATCATTGATCAACACCTACGTAATTTCAGAAGTAATTGCTGTTATGCTTTCTTCTGCCGTGTACATGTGTGGCAGCATAAACAGAATGGCTGAGTTGGCTGAATTTCTTGAAAAGATGGAGGTATAGCAATAACTCTCTGCTGACCAAATGTAGTAGAATGTAAATTGGCATAATGCCAGGCCCTCATTTACATCTGACTTTTTGTCCTGAACTGTTAAAAAGCGCTTCTCATGCTTCCTGTTTTCCTGTGGCCAGATGGCTTCTCAGAATTTGATTTTTATTAGGTGACAGTGAAAATACTGAAATTGCCTCATTCCTTATCCGTATACAGTATATATATATAAATATCTAATGATTACATTGTTACATGCATCTGCATGTAGGCTTGAACATACAGCATGTATTGTGTGCAAGTTTGTTTGTACACTGCCCTTAAAATGTGTGGTTGTATGTAGAGTTCATATAGTTATGCCTACATGTGTAGAAGAAGAGAGTTGTCATAAATGAAAATTACAAGTGAAAAATACAATTAACTTGCATGTTAGTAAACTATTATAAGAAAGTATGGAGTTTACTAATCTTCACGTGTGTTGCAGTTACTAAGTTTTGTGTGCAGAGTTGTGTTTCTGAAGACACTTCTCGTAGTCACGATCTGTTTACTTTTTCAGATGATGTCAAAGAAGAGGAGAATACCTTTGATTTACTTCAAATCAGTAACATAAACCGAAAGACAGTTGGAGCAAAATTGTTTCGGGGTCCAGATCCCGCTATCCCAGCGTATCGTTTCATTCGGTTTGACCATATACCTCCATTCAAACCAGAGAAGTTAAAAAAGATTGTTAAACTCATACGGCAAAATGAGGGCTTTATCCTTTCAGCCACCCTGAGACAGGACAGGCAATCTAGAGGCACTATCCTTGCTTTAGAAGGTCCTGGCATCACTGAGAGGCAGTTTGAGATAATTTCCAATGGCCGAGCCAACACCCTGGACCTCATTTATTGGGTGGATGGCTTCCAGAATGTGATTTCCCTGGAAGACGTGGACCTTGCTGACTCGCAGTGGAAGAATCTCACCGTGCAAGTAACAGGAGAGAACTACAACCTCTATGTTGGCTGTGACCTTATTGACAGCTTCATCCTGGAGGAGCCTTTTTATGAGCAACTGAAGGCAGAGAACAGCAGAATGTATGTGGCGAAAGGATCCATTCGGGAGAATCATTTCAGGGTAGGTAACCCGTAAGTCTCTGGTGAGGTAAGAATGTAGCTGCAAATAGTCACTGAAGATGCAATAGATTCAGTTTTGTTCTCACAAAGGCCCTTGAATTTGATGAGGTCAGAGGTATTGGCAAGCAAATTTTTCCAGGATATGTTTTTATTCATTACTGGATACCTATTGCATGTATTTGGGAGTTCCTGAAAATTCAGAGGACTGATAAAGAACAGTCTAAGACCAGGAAAAATGCACAATCTGTTTATGGGTGTTTCTATACAACCACCCTCTTTATTTTCCAGATGCAGGAACTTCTGAACATGTCACGTTTTTAGGGGTGATTCTTGGAAATATCTTGTAGACTTGTTTATTTTGCACTATGTCCATTTTGTTCACAGAACCTGTCAATATTTGTTAAATTTTATTTGAAAAAAAAAATCAGGTGAAGGAAGAGAAGAATTTTTAGTAGAGTTGAAGGATATAGTGTTGTTCCCCTAATGGAATGTCTTGGTTTACCATTTTGAATAACCTTTCATTTCAATATCAAAGATAAAAAGACATTTGAAAAGCGGACAAGACCAGAACAAAATGTTTTGATCAGTCTGGTAGAAAGTTTTTCTTTTTGTGGAAAAACATCTTGCTTCTCTTTTGCTTTAAAATTAAGCACATTCAAACTCTCTAGTTCTCCTATCAAATGAGAATTACGTCCTGTCCACAGAATGATGTTATCTGGTCCTGGTGCTCTAAGGATGGCTTCTTTGCACTTAAAGTTGAAATCAAATTAATTTATGGCTTCAAAAATTTGGAAAGTGCTTCATCTTCTCATCCTGTTGTGCCATCTAGTTGTCAGTCAGAGTGTGACATGCTGGAGGCTGGTTCTATGGGTTGACTAGTTTTGGCAGGAAAGTGGGAAGTTCTTGGTCACATTTTCTCCCTCTGCCTCCATGACTACATTTGACAGTCATGTGTGCTAATGGAACTAGTTTTGGAGCCGTACAGTTCAATGGACCATTGAAATCTGCTATTAAAATAATTCCTTTCTTTTTTGAGATTTTTAAGTGAAACATACTAGTGTGTTTATATAGTACTGTGTCAGGGTAGTGTCAGCACAATTGAGGAGAGAGCAAGGTATGATGCATGGAAAACTGGAAAATAATGGAGGTACAGTGGGGTGGGAACTTCAGAAGTTGGCTTTGACTTCACGGCCAATGTGTTATGGAACTACAATGTAAAATGCACTCTATGGAAATAGAGATTTGAGCTCATTGCTGATGAATTACTGATTTATTATGACCTATTTCAGAAAATACCTAACTTGTTGCTTAAAGTACTGAAATTGTATATATTAAAACTATCAATATATATATTTTTCATGCCATGGAGATTGTTTTATCTTGGTATTAATCATGGCTAAATGCTAATAGTATGGGCTTGAGATAGTATAATCCCAAATTGATAAAGCTGGTTTTTATTTGTATTTTTTTATTATTACAGGGTCTTTTGCAAAATATTCATTTAATCTTTGATACTTCTATAGAGGATGTTCTACGTAAAAAAGGATGCCAGAGGAGCCAGTCAAGTAAGGCTTGCTTTTTTTTTTTTTTTACCTTATTAATGTTTTTCATTAAACTTTAAAAATGAGAATGCCATTGATGACATATTGTAAAGCCATGAAACAGATCTATTTGAAATTTTAGAGGATTCTTACTTGATAATGAAGAAGAAAGCAAGGTTCTTTTTGGTGGTAAAAGGAACATGCTTGTTTGCTACCTTGAGATACCATTCCTACAGTCCAACCTACTTCTCTAGTTCATGATGGTTAGATTTATAACTTTGAGTATCTGCTTTTAAGTTGAGATAAAAATCTATCAAGAAAAAAAAAAAATAAAAAATAGAATTGCATATGCAGATATCTGTATTTTACCATGAGGAAAAATCTCTGATGCTTCAAGCACAGAACTAAGAATATTGCTTCTGACTAACGCTCCTGAGCCTCACTGGGTCCATGAGCAGGTTGGCAAGTCTTAAAGACAACTAATTCCTCAACAGTGAGTTTATTGAATGAAAGAGGCTTTGGGTTTGAATCCCAGAAGGGTTTTCATCAAACCAACCAAGGCAAAATAAGAAGGAAAAAAAAAAAAAAGTAGTTATGGAAGGCATGTGTATGACAGGCTACAGTATATTCTATTTAGTCCTGCTCATGTTGACCTCTCCAGGAGGTGAGCACTCTGTGTGTGGGAGTTTTTTGGATTCATCATGACAGTAATGAAAATTTGTCAAGTGTGCACTAAGGTTTTGTAGTAGGTCTAATGGGAGGTGCTATTCTGCTTTCCAGGGTTTGTAACTGGCAGCAGTTCAGTAAGGGCTCAAATATAACTGATTCCATTAGAGGAGCATGGTGTCTGTACAAGGCAGTCAGGACTTCAGTGTTTTATATGAAACTCCTTTCATCTGAAATGCAATTATTTCTTGGTGAAGTGACAGAAATAAGAGATTGAGCCTTTTAAGTTGGCTGAACTCAGCATTTTTCCTTGCTTGTACAAACCCCAGAACTCAAGCAGTAGCGGTGTAAACTTCTTCAGAGAGAGACACAGATTTGAGTTTTGTAATTAAAAATTTCTGAAAGGTATATAAATACACACTTATATGTATTGTGTATATATATATATATGTATATCTGTGTATATGTATATATGTGTATATGTATATATATATATATGTGTATGTATATGTTCAAAAAACTAAACCGCTAGTGGAAGAAAGTGCTTGAGAACTGCTGCAGAAAAAAATAGAAAAATAGAACGTATATTTAGATCTAATTGTAATCTGAATAAAAGAGATGGTTTCAGGAATTAAGTAGAGTATCTTCAAATCTTTTGTGTTTTTATTTGTTGATTAATACAAAGGAAGATTGTTCGTCCAAATGTTTTGAAATATTACCAAGCACAAATAGAATGTTTGAGTACACTATTTCTACTATAAACGGGAAGCCAATGAATGGGTGCCTAAAGGGATAAATAATAACTCAAAAAATTGAGTTCTACATGCTAACGATATCTGCTATAATGCATATTTCATCATGTCTGTCAATTACCAAATTTCAGTTCCAGTAAACTATGCAGATTATGTTTTTATCTTTCCTGGGAAATGTGTATAGAACTATTTCATAAATAATATTTTCACTTTACAACACTGAGATAACACTTCAGTATGGAAATTGCTTATCTAATGGCAGAAGAAGGCTAATGGTATGCTGTGGTTTGAGGCTATCAGAAGGACCTGAGAAGGACATATTTGACTGTGGATTTATAGCATTACCCATTCACCTTATCACCGTTACAAAGCCATGAGTAGTATGCTAGTGACCACAGAATAAATATTTTCCCATTTGTATTGCCCATCCACTGAACTGAGGTACAGGTGCTGAAGTGTGAAACTTACATAAGTTATATGACAGACATTATCAATGAAATGCTACTGCTTTTTCAGAAATGCAGTTGTGTTTCTCTAATGCATCTTATTCTACTATGAGGTGAGGTATGATGAAATGGTAGCTTGGAGCTGCTGTTGAATTGTGTGTAGAAAAGTGTCTCTGTAGTGTGGCAGTTGCAAATACTGTAAGCAGGTTTTGCACACAATGGTGAGTAGGACAGATGATAAAAGTGTGCCTGAGTGTACACATCAGTAAAATTCCTTCTCCAGCTAGATCAACAGCATGATATTTGCATATGTGAGAGAATGTACATTCTGCTCTTCTGGTTTCTCATTTTAAGGATAATCATGTGGTCGTTAGGAAATTAGCAGGAAGCCAGCAGCAGAAAACTGGTTTTGCAGTGATCCCCAGGCATCTTCTTTAAGTTGCTGCCAAGTAACAGTAGGAAGTGTGGATTTAGCTCTTCTGACATAGTTTTGGTTTATGTTTCCTGCTGAGATTGCATCTTTATTAATGTTCTCAGAGTGTTCCGGTCAAGGCATACTCCATGTTGGCTTGAGAAATATGAAACGAATGACCTGAGAAGTGCTATGGGGAAATCTGAGAACCTTAGTGTTTCAGCATGGTAGGAAAACTGCATTCTTTCCAGGGAATCAAAAAGCAGTTAAATGGTTACGACACAGACTTCTGAATCATTATGCGGTATATCAGTTTTCTTCCATCCTATAAGTGAAGGTGGACAATTACATAAATGCTGGAACATTGCAAACAGTTTGTTGTTGTAGTCCCTGGCTAGCAGTAGATTCTCCATGGCTAATAGAAAAGCACATCAAACCAAGCATCTTAAATACAATTGTGACAATTTTTGAATGTCATCTTATTGGTTAGTTCTTTTGGACCAACTAGACATGGGATATATGGGCAGAACCATACCAGCAACTTTCTAGTAGATTTTCAACTGTTTTTTTTCTCTGCATTGAGGAAACATAATAAGATTTGGGGAAGGAGGAAAAAAAAAAAAAAAAAGGAATCTTTCATGGCTTTGAATAGATGGCTTTGATTTTTCTTTCTTTTTTTTTTTTTTTTTTTAAATACTGTGTCCTTTACTTGCACTTAATTCACAAATGAATATGATGCAGTACCAATGGTGTTTTAGAGTGAGGACTGTATAAAGCAAAGCTTGGCTCTTAGTTTTGAAAAGGGAAAGACTATAACTGGAACCATCTGACATCTAACCCCTGTTTTATTCAGGGTGTAATACGGCATGAAGCTATTCCATGGTTACCAGTTTGTGACTTTAACAGGAACTGTAAACTGTGGGAGAACTCTGTATATTCATCTCTTCTTTTTCATTCTCTTGCAATTAGCTGAAGTGAACACCATCAATGAGAGCACTGAAATCCTTCACTTGAGCCCTGCTGTCACGACTGAATATGTAGGTGAAAAAACAGAGAAGAAGGCTGAGTTCTGTGACCGGTCCTGTGAAGAGCTGGGAACAATGTTCACTGAGCTCACTGGCCTGCGCATTGTGGTGAACAATTTAGCTGATAACCTCCAAAAAGTGGCAAGTACCTTCAACTCTGAAAAACTTAATCTTTGCTGTAATGCTTTGCTTCATACTGGTAGATTTGGGGTGGTTAACAGAGCTATACGTGTTTGGATAGCTACGCACTGTAGACATTAGGCACATTTTCCAAGTAAAAGTAAAGTAGTTCTTGAGTAGGAGTTGTTATTGAAGGCTTGGTTTTAACTGATTGGGTTTAAAGGAACACAAGCACATGCACTCTTACACAGAGTAAGAAATCTAATCTCTAAAACATACTCCAAGGATGGAAATCGAAAGCAAGCTGTAAACTGTACCTTTAGAACATTGTTACCATTCTTATACTATTTATGAATATATCAGCAAGTGGCTACACGGAGTACCAAAACTATAAATGTGTGTGGAATTTTGATAGTTGAAGTAAGGTGATGACATTTTACTGAAATTTGCCACTCTTCTTATTTTGGATAACTTACTATCTTCTGAAGGAAGTTTATTATACCATTATGTCTCAAGAGTAAAATCTTCCCATCTAAAGGAAGATCTGAGGGGAATCTTCTCCTCAGAATGGATTTCCCTTGGTACTATGTGAACTTATTTGTACTGTTAGCTTCACAATATTGCTGTACCTGAGATCACTGTATTTATGTATGAGTAAATGTATAGAGTTCTTAATAGAAAAATTAAATCTGCTAGTGTTTCTTAGTTTTGGTTCGTTTAAAACTATTTGTTTACAAAGTACAGTAACTTTTTTCTTTTGCTTCATCTTCTAGTCTGAAGAGAACCAAATTATGTGGGAATTGATTGGGCCTAACAAAACACTCAAGAACCAATCAGTTTGCTGGCAGGATGGCCGAGTCTTTGCAGATAGTGAAAGCTGGATTGTAGATAGCTGCACAAAGTGCACCTGTCAGGTAAGGTCTGGGAAATACTCTTTTCTGCACCAACAAGCAATAGGCTTAATCCAGTTTGACTGTCCAGATCTGGTCACATTTACTGAGGGCTTGGCTCAAACTTTCTGAAACTTACTGCCTCACAAAAAAAAAAAAAAAAATTATGTCCATGCCATTTAGAATAAATACAAATTCTACGTGTGAAACCTTCCCCATAGGCGCACCTTGATTTGTTTGTCTGTGTGAGCATGTCAGAATATTTTCTTTTCCTGTAGGACTCTAAAATTGTGTGCCAGCAAATTACCTGTCCACCAGTTTCTTGTGCTGATCCATCCTTTATTGAAGGTGAATGCTGTCCAATCTGCTCTCACTGTAAGTACTTATCTAAAGAAAAAGATTCTACTCTCTGTTGATTTCTTATTTCACTACTAGTAGGTCAGAAAGGTCAAAATGAGGTGAAGATAGGTAAGAGAAAATCAGATTCATTTGTATACAAGGATTATATGAAATAACTGATGCTGCTTCCAGAAGTTACCTTCTGGAATAGTTTTTCTCACTTTACTCATTGTATTGGTATATTGCTAACAAGCTGGTAAATTGCCTAGCTTAGTCAGATGCTGAAGGTTAGATGCATACTCCTCCTGAGTTATGTTTTCCAAGGCTGAACACTGTTGTGTGTTTAAATTGGTTTACAGTATTATTGTGCATTGTTATTTGTTTTCTGTACTGCCTAACTGAACAGACTAACATAGATTAGGGTGTCTTTTTGCTTGCTTTACTTATGTGAAACAAATTGACAAGGTTTGTTTAAAACAGAATTGTGGGCTGTGGACTATGGAGTAATGCTAGTTTCAGTGATTTAACTGCGTGACTTCAGTGTCAGTTCAATACCTTTTTCTCTTTAGTTGGACGGATCTGTTACAGAAGAGAACAGCTTTACTGTTTTGTTTGATTAGATGTTTTAAGTAACAGTACAATAGCAATATACTCAGTTTTTTTACTTGGTTAGAGGAGAGAGCATGTTCTTACAATGTGCTTATGATGGTTTTTGTGCTAATGTTTTGTTTAGACCCAATGCCATATCTCATACTGACCTATTTGCTAAAGTTAAAGGCAGGTGAGAATTGAGTGTTTGTCTCAATGCATTCTAGGATAAAATATCTTTCTTCCACCCGAGGTTTGTGCCTTTTGCAGTTACATTGCATGAATGGGAATTCCAGAAATACATAGCATTAATCTGGGCTAACCTCTTACTACCTTCAACCTAACTTTAGTGACAACCCAGGAAAGCAAAATTAGAAAGAGATCTAGAGGACAAAGCATATATAATACACAAAAGGAGAAGTAAAAATTTTCCAAGTAGGGTAGTAGAAGCAATTTTCAATGCTAAACACTTTTTGTACCTTTTACTTTGAAGCTGATGATAGTGAGGAAGGCTGGTCACCCTGGTCAGACTGGACAAAGTGCTCAGTTACCTGTGGCTCTGGGACTCAGATGAGAGGAAGGTCTTGTGATGTTACCAGGAGTGCTTGTACAGGCCCACACATTCAGACAAGGATGTGTAGCTTCAAGAAATGTGACCATCGCAGTAAGTAATAAATTTCTCCCTTTCTTAAAAGTTTCTTTTCATTTCTCAAAGCAAAAATAAACTTATCGTAAGTTTTCTGTAAACACTTGCTAGTCACTAAGTATATGCATAACTCTCATTACGTTCTTTGTTGTGTCTCCCCTTTCAATATTCTTCTATTTACTGTCAGTTTAATTTCTGTCTGAATTCTGGGCACTCTTTTGAATAGAACGATAGTAGGTCATCTTTTCTTTCACATTACAAACTGGACTTTCTTGTTTGAGGTCAGCATAAAGAAAATGGTTCATATTTGTGATATGTGAGAACATAGATATCTTCTGCTGTTCATTCACAATTATTGGCCTGTTTCAGTAGCTGAGTAGAGTTTAGGAATTCAGTAATCATAGAGGGCTTCTGGAAAGTATGAAACTGCTTTTGTATTTAAGGCACGTAGAAAAATCACAATCTTTACCCAGAGCTTTAGCTCATATTGTTGCAGGTAACTGCTGTATGCAAGCTATGTGATTGCCTAAGGTTGTTGCTGAAGCTGCTAGTTGTCCAAATGTGCATTTTAAATAAATATTTGTTCAATTGGAACAAGTTTATTTTTATGTAAAATGTCTAACATTTTAGTGCTCTACTGGTCATTGAGATTCTTAAGAAAGCTGCTCTTGAATGACCAAGATGAAATGCTGGGATTTGTAAGAGATAGTAGTAGGAAAGTAAATGTGTATCACATGTGGTGTAAGACTGATTGGAAGATTTAAGTTTACAGGTGGAATTGTATTACTACAGCAGGTGGGGTATTTCCTTGAATTTTGCTCTTTTCTCTGGCAGTACGTCAAGATGGTGGTTGGAGTCACTGGTCTCCCTGGTCCTCGTGTTCAGTCACCTGTGGAGTAGGAAATATCACCCGCATCCGCCTCTGCAATTCCCCTATTCCCCAGATGGGTGGGAAAAACTGTGTTGGAAATGGACGTGAAACAGAGAAATGTGAGAAGGCCCCATGCCCAGGTAAGTCTGTGGCCTTAAATCCAAGTGACAAAATAGCGTTCCATTTGAACTTCTTCGTTTTATACAACTCTAAATTACAATGAATTTCTATGACGGAAAACATAAATTACAGCTTAGAGGTTGAAATTACATTTATTTGCTCTAAGTTTTGAGATTTAGTATCTGGTTCAGCAGTTACTGGCCACAGAAGTTGTGGAGGAATCAGGAGATCCTGTTGCAGATCAACTGTTGCTGTGTAGCCTGCTAATATTCACAGCTGATCTCCATGTCTTAGTTTGCACGTAGTTACTGTTGCTAATCTGTCTAATGATGTTTTTAGAATGAATGTAACAATGCAGTCTGAGGTTCTATAAACCTCCCAGGTTATGATTAGGCATTAAGCATTAACGGAGTGAAAAATTACCTATTTATAGTTCAGCACTTTTATTGTTGCACAGCAGAAATACTTTCCATCAGCAATGAGGCTGGCACTACATATTAAGAAAATACATAATCCCCCAGTAGCCAGACTACTTTGAATGTATGCATAGATACGGTTTATACATATGCAACACACTTTTTTTTTTTTTTCATACTATCATACTTTTGTTCCTCATCTGCATGTAGTAATCTCTAAAGAGATTAGTTTTCATTCCACTCGTTCTCTTTCCTAGGAGTTTAAATATATATATTTTTTCCTCACTTTGTTTATATTTCTTCACTCCCTTGTCTCTTTCATTTCTACTCTGGGGATATAACTTTGAAATTGATGCCAAGCTTTTATCCAGTGTTAATTAAATAGCTTTTTTTTTTTGTATTTTTTTTATCTACTTGTGCCTGCAAAGTTAGCAACCATGACAAAGATTATTCAAGGACACAAACCATTGCCCTTGGCTTTTTTTTTTTTTTTTTTTTTTTTTTTTTGCAGTGCTAAGAACAAAGATGTTTTCATTTGAAGATGTTTGTACTCTTGAATTTTCCTGAAATGATGATAACAGTCAGTGGGAATGTACCAGTATAAATTGTGCAGAAGAATTGTACAGTTAAATTACTTATAGTGAGTTATGCAGTACCACTGAAGATAAACTGATGAATGAGTTACCAAATAAGAATAAAAATATAAATGCTTCATTGAGCATAGTTAAGTCTGGAGGTCAGGTAGGGCTCAGCAGAAGTTTGTGTACTGTAGATACGTGCTGCTGTCTGTACAAAATGAAAGCTTAGAATGGAGTTTTGAAGCCACTGTACTTGTTCTGATCAGCTTAAGTGGAAATGCACCATGCCAGTGGGTGCTATGTGCTGTTTTGTATTATTGGCCAAAAAATGCCTATAAAGCAATTGGGTATTTTTTATTTGCTTGTTTTTTTTTCTAAAATATTGTTATCTCAGTGTAAGGCTTTGTCAGCATCTTTCTTCCTCTGTGTGTAGTGAGAAACTGTCTTCAGCCAGGGATCTGAAGAAAGGAATGTTGTCGTTGGCACTAATTGTTGTTCCCTGTGTATTGCCTGTGATGCTCTTCTCCTTTACTCTATCTCCACATAATCTAGTGAATGGCCAATGGGGTCCTTGGTCTCCATGGTCTGCTTGCACTGTTACCTGTGGAGGAGGAATCCGTGAGAGGTCTCGCCTCTGTAACAGTCCAGAGCCACAGTATGGAGGAAAGCCGTGTGTGGGAGATACTAAGCAACATGATATGTGCAATAAGAGGGATTGCCCAATTGGTTGGTATTTAATCATTTCTTATTTAGTTTGTCTACTTATCATTGCTTTTGTTTCTGCAGTGGAAAAATCTTGAATTAATGATTACAGAAATACAAAACTACAGAAATTTGCTAATTAAATCTTTGTTACAGGAGGGCACCTTTATGTTCTCTTGTACTGTTTAGTGCAGTGGGATCTTACATGTTCTTGATGCTGGCTTCAACAATGCACTTTTCAGTCAGATCCTGAAAGTTTGTTGCACGTTGAAATGAATTTAGCAATCTGCAGTATTTTCATAGCAAATCAATAATATATCAAATGCATTTAATGACTTTAATTTGTGGGGGATTTTTCTTGTGAATTGGCTGTATCAGATGTGATCTAAGCTAATGAATAGAGAATAGCTGTTTCTTGGGTGGTCTTAAGTGCCTTGCTTCCTAACTCAATTTATGCTTCTTTTTTGTGTCTTTTCTAGATGGTTGTTTGTCAAATCCTTGCTTTCCTGGAGCAGAATGCAACAGTTACCCAGATGGATCTTGGTCATGTGGGCCATGTCCAGCAGGTTTTCTTGGCAATGGCACAGTCTGTGAAGATCTTGATGAGGTACTGACTTTGTTTTCATTAACATATGGAAACTGCTGTGAAGATTTAATTATCTGGGAATTACATGGGCATCTAATTGGTTTCTTTATTCCCTTTCCTCCAGTGTATAGCTGTGTCAGATGTTTGCTTTAAGGTGAATCAGGTCCATCGCTGTGTGAACACGAATCCGGGTTTCCACTGCTTGCCGTGTCCTCCACGTTATAAAGGAAGTCAGCCCTATGGAGTAGGGCTGGAAGTTGCCAAGACAGAGAAGCAAGTAAGTGATGTTGAAGAGAATCTCATGGCCCAGAAGCTGAGTAATTCTCACCAAAATTATCTGAATGAAAAAGTGATAAACTTGTGTGCAAAACAAAGATAACATGAAGTAGACAACTCCTGAACTCCTGTTCCTGGTTACTTTTTTGTTTGTGTGGCAAAATAGCAATATTTATTTATTTATTTATTTGCCACTGTCGATAAAATGTCAACAGTGGGCATTTAGCTGTGTTGCACTGCTTTGTCTTGGGGTTATGTACCAACTGAGGATATCAGGAATTGAAGAATCACGTTACTTTCGTGAGAAAAGTATTACTGTTAATGTGGATGTCATCAGATATAGGTCTGAATTCCAAATTCCATTCAGCCAACACCTATCAGTGGGGAAGGATAGAAGAAATTAGAAGTGATATTAAAGATTGTGGTTTGATAGATAGGACAAAAACATTAAAATAAATGCTATGGGATACCCCTCTCTGCTGCTGAGTAAGCTTGTGGTTAGTTCAACGTATGAAGACTAAACATAAAACATCTGCATAAGATTCGCAGATCCTGCCAAAGAAAATAAGCAAGGTAACTAATCTTACTTGAGGAGGATGTTAAAAACTCATTAAACTTGACGTTTGATGCAAGAAAAAAAAAATGTAGTCCTTGCATACCAACAGATGGACTGCTAAAGTAAACAGGTGAGTATAGTTTACTTTGTGGACATCAATGACCCATGGAAAAAAAGCGGATGGAGTTCTGAAAATGCTGGCTACTTCAGTTTCTTTTGAATAATAGCCATATTTTTCCTATGTTTCTTTTACTTATTTTCACTGTACTTATTGCCAGAAGATGTGAACTGACAGCAATATGACTTGGTAATAAAAAACAAAGTTGCTGTTTCGAGCAACAAATGACTGATCTGCTTTTGACAAAACTGAGGCAGACAGCTGGTGGCTGCAATTGTTATGTGTCAATGAGTATGCTTTATTTGCTACAGGTCTGTGAACCTGAGAATCCGTGCAAAGACAAGACACACAGCTGCCATAAATCTGCGGAGTGCATCTATCTAGGCCATTTCAGTGATCCTATGTACAAATGTGAATGTAGAACAGGTTATGCTGGTGATGGACGCATCTGTGGTGAGGATTCAGATTTGGATGGATGGCCGAATAATAACTTGGTCTGTGCTGCTAATGCTACATATCATTGTGTGAAGGTAGGTGTTGAAGTTAAACCATAACTGAAGTTTCCCTTTTTTTTTTTTCTAAATAGTTATGAATGATAGCTATCAGCATCAAGCTAGTGGTGATCACATTTCAGTTTTGGCTGTTATAGCGTACTTACTTTGTGGGAGATTCTGAAAATTGTATATTCACTTAACACTGTATTCAAAAAGGGATTTTTTAAATTGAAATCCAGAGTTGGTTTTTTTCCTGTTTAGTATACATAGAAGGCCTATGAGTAGAGTTAATGTACTGAATAGGAGCTGCCACAGCTAGCTAGAACTAAAGAATCTCTGGTGCAGGTGAGTAGGAAATCCTATCTGCAAGGCTTGTTATGAGATCCTGATAGTCAAGTAAGATCTATGCTTTTGAATACTACTTTGAACTAACCCTTCTTTTTAAAGAGATACCTTGTGAAAACAAATTCAGATCCTGAGATAAATTTTGGCAATAGGAAACAGAAATGAACAAATATTAGTAACTAGACAGTTTTCTTAATTGCAAAAGCTCAGTGGAGGAGAACAGGAGGTTCAGCCACTCTCCTTTCAGAGATATGGAGTTACAGCTTTCACCCCTTCTAAGGGAAGTGACCTACCTGCCATGCTGGCTCTAGACCTTTCTAGACTGTTCTCTGCCCTTTCTGTCTAATCATAGTACTGAAAAAGGAAAGATTGCTAAGCAAACAAATTGGGAAAGCATGAGGGAGCCTGAAAACAGCTGTATGTAAGTTTTGCAGACGCTGCTTATCGTGGTATGTTCCCTGGGACTGGGTTTTGTGCTCATCTGTAATGTTGTTATTCTTGGTTTCCTAGCTTGGTTTCTCTTCTAGCAGGAATTCCTGAAAAAAGGTGAATATATTTGTAGGCCTCATTGTGATGAAGTTACTCTGCTGAACAAAACAGGGCTGGAAGTTGTTCCAGGTCCACTGGTTTAAACATAGACCAAATATTTGAGATATATTCAACTCAGTTCTGAGTGGTCACCTCATTGTTGGTTGAAAGGCAGGCGCAGCACAGAGGAGCATGCATTCTTAAAAGTAGCTAATCAAGTAACTGGGACAAAATAAGCTATACCTGAAGGTGAATGGTTAGATTTACATACCTATGACTTAAACACTTGCATCAGTGGATTACCTATATATTTTCACTCAGGCAAGTTCTCAAGTATTTTTACTGAATTGTTTATGGCTTCAAGGGTGATACTTAGCATTTCAGATTTGTTGTGGGGTTTTTTGTTTGTTTTTCACCCAGAATGGAAGGATTTTGGTTTCTCCCTCTAAGTTAAAGCAGTCTACCTCTAAATTGTTACGAAGTACAAGTGCAATAATGTTAAATTAAAAAAGAAAAAAAAGGGAAAAAGAAGTGCAAAAATGAGTTTTTTTTTTTTTTTTTTTTTTTTTTTTTGTTGTTGTTGTTGTTAACAACAGGAATACAAATCAAGAGTTTGAAATCAGGTGGTTTAAGAGAGTCAGAAGTTACCTCTATTAATCCAACTGAAGTTGTGAATTTGGCCTTTTTTAGCACAAGGGAGTTTGAGATTTAGTAGGAAATATGGAACTCAAACACTGAATGTCCTCATCCTCACTGATGTCTGCTCATCGTGTTTGCAGCCAGTTCAGCAATTGCAGTTCACATATTCATTCTTAGTTCCTGTCATCAAGATTTGCAGCATGTTGACTGCAGATGTAACACAAATGATTAATTTTTACTAAGTGCCCAACATACCGAACCCATTCAGAAAAACCTGTTCCAAAGATTAATTGATTAATTCATGTTCATTCTTCAATTTGTGTGTTGATCTAGTAGAAACATTTAGGGGGTGAAACACCTTGAAAATTCTAGGTATTTTCAGATTGTTGTATTCATTACAAAATATCCTACTTCTCTTTTTTTTTTTTTTTTTTTTTTTTGAGCAGTTAGAACTACTACTACTACTTTGAGTTGTTGTTGTATGAAAATTTATGTACTAAGCAAATCTATATGCATAAAGCATATAGTTGTAAATAATAATAAAATCTTAGCAATATTTGTTAATGTAAATCTATTTCTCATTCATATGATAGTTAATCTTTTTTCCGTTGTTACTGTACCAACATAGAACTTGATTAACAGATGAACCAAAGAAACCTAGTTTCTGGTAGGTTGAGTTCCCTGGAGCGAAGCATGATGTGTCTAAGTCTTCTTTTTAATAGCTAGTAAGAGGCTTTTTGAGTGCACTGATTTGATCTCTTTCCTCTACATAGCTACTTTTTCCTAAAGGTTATGGGATCTGGCTACCCTTGAGGTCTTTGCGCTACTACTAGATTTGTATGAAATTGGACTCAATTCTATGGAGAGTACAGATGAACAAACGTGTAGATGCAAACATGGAAAGCAATTGAAGAAGCTTTGACTGATTTTTATTTTTTTTTAATTATTTATTTTTTATTTTTTTCACTGTTCCCAAAAATACATAAAGAAATAGAAAATCATTTCATATTACTGGATTGATAGTAATCAGTACTGAGTTGGACAGTCAAGGCCATCTACAACTATTTGATAAAAACGTGCCATGAAAAGGTTGGAGTTACATTATGGTTTTCATACTTACGATGAACAGTTACAGTTTTCTTCCTTGAATTGTCTCCACTATTTGAACTGCTGAGATTTAAAAAAAAAAAAAAAGGGATGGGGAATATTACTGGAATATTCATGTATTACAAAAAATACTTCTGCAGTCTGTTGGCAAATTCTGTTTTGGTCTGAGATAAACATGGAAATACTTGTTAAGGTTTTACATCTTAGATTACACTTAAAAAATACAGCTTTATTCATTTAAAATAATAATTCTTTGCAAAGCTCCAGTACAAAAAGAATACATTTTACTTTGTTTTCAAAGCTCTGGCTGTACAAGAGAGCTAAGATGTTCTTTTTTAGGACAGTTGAAAGGCCCATTTTCTAAAACCCATGCTTACAGTGTTCTCCTTATTGCTCCATACTTCATTCCAGTAACTTTCCATATGAACAGCTGTTTCTGAAGATCATCTCCTGGCTTGTGTATTTTTCTGGCAAAAAACCTGTTCGTTTTATATGTAATCTTCAAACATACATCACCAGCTGTCTATAAAAAGTTGATGTAAGTGATTGTGTGTGCGTGTGGTGTGTTTGTTCTTTGCTAGAGATTTTCATCTAAAATTTACTGGGAACATCCCTTTTACAGAAGGAGAGCTGGGAAACAGAATGATTTGCAGATGCGTTTCACTTACTGTACAATATGAAGGCAGCAAATTTACTACTATCTTTGGCAACAAACACAGATCCTTTAAAAAGTATTTGTGGATGACTGTTTGCTTTCTAGCCTGTGGTGGTGGCACCATATCTGCACTTCTGTCCAGGCAAGTCATTCTGACATAATGTAAAGATCAGTTATTTCTTTTGATCAGGATAACTGCCCCCTCCTGCCTAACTCTGGCCAAGAAGACTTTGATAAAGATGGCAAAGGAGATGCCTGTGATGAGGATGATGACAACGATGGTGTTGAAGATGACAAAGTAAGATGCGTTTCTGTGTTCTCCGTACTTTTGACATAAACATCCGTTTCTAATTACAAGCGATGACTTGATTATTGTTCAGAGCTTCAGCTAAGTTACTCTGCGCTACTTTCCTTGAATGATACCTGCTGCAGAGTAAAGTTGTTGCATCAAATGAGATGTAACACTGGGAAGAGCAAAACAACCCAGGGAACCTGAGGCTGAGCTAAGTTCTCTATATTGGCTCTGAGTTCAGTTGTGTACATGAAAACAACTTAATTAAACTCTTTATTTTGTGATGAGGAATGATAGCTCTATTTATTTTAAAAGCTGATAGATACCTGATATATGGTGGAAACAAGTTACAGGAAGTAATGTAACTATAAACATAGAGAGCATAAAAGAGAAGTGACAAGAGGAAAGTAATAAGCCTTGTTCATGCTTTCATCTTTTAAGTATGCCCACAAGATTGAAATCTGTATAGTTGTGTTAATTGAAAGACAGGTGGTTAATCTAAACCTCTTATTCCTTTACATTAAGCAAATGGACAGGAGTATCTTTCATTGTGCTTTTTCTGAATATGTTTAGGTTAAGATGCGTGAACTGATATTAAAAAATTATAGTTGTTTTCGGTTACCTTCACAAGAAGCCTAGATGCTCTGAGCTAGACTGTAGCTACTAGTTCAGTTTTATGCGCAGTATAAAATTTGTATTTGTCCTCTATCATCTCTTTCAGTGTATAAAATGTGTGTCTGAGGAATCTGAAATGTTGATCTAAAAAATAGTTTCCTGGTAAAGGTTGTTGTTTCTTGCTTTCACAGAGGAAAAGTAGTCTAAAGATATTTTCAAATTACTCCCTTTAGATTCCACAATTTTGATCTTCTCAATTCCACTGCTTTGATTTGGCTTGGTGATCCTTTACTTCTACACAGAATACTTCCTCAGGGCTGTGCAGAAGACCATTTGTAGTTTGAAGATGCATGAAGCATAAGAAATCTTATTGTACCAGACTTCCAGCATAGGGGTTGAACTGAGATGTAATTTTAAAAGTTCCACTAAAAGTTGTGGCTCTAGGGAAAAATATTTTGGATCAAAGAGTATTTCATTTAAATTTTGCTTTTTAGCGTCTTTTATACTTTATCGTATGCAATATACCCACAAAATCAATTCTTGTTTAAAATTAAAAATCAAAACATTTGATTTCAGACAGAATATTGATACTAGATTGCTCCAAAAAAGTCAGAGTATTAATTCTTGTTTTTTCCAAAGAAAAATGCTGCTGCCGTTGGACTGATTCTACAGCACATCCTGCTTTTGGAAAAAATTGCATGTACCAATGAGATATTTTCATTGAAATTATGGAGTACAGATCCAATTTAAAATGTGTTTCTCTTCTAGTGATATACAGTATGCATTTAGCATGCCTTGTATAAAAACACAAAACACACAGTAAGCCTGGCTGTCCAGAAACCATCCCATTAGCACTATGATTTTCAGCTTAGTTACAGTTTGTCCAGTGGAAAAATCACATATTTGTGTCTTGATTCATCTGTCCAAGATGAATAGGAAGATTTACCACCAAATGCTCATGTGACCTCAATTCAAATTGTGATTTATGTTCTTAAATGTTTTATTTCTTCTCTCTAGGACAATTGCCCTCTTCTGTTCAATCCTCGTCAGTTTGACTATGACAAAGACGAAGTTGGTGACCGCTGTGATAATTGCCCTTATGTGCACAACCCTGCACAGATTGACACAGATAATAATGGGGAGGGTGACTCATGTGCTGTGGATATTGATGGAGATGGTATGTTTTTGGTTTTGAGAATTAAGTTATGTGCTATGAGTACGCTTTGATTTGTGGTCATTGAGACAAGCTGCCTGCTTTACTATGTGAAATAAAATCAAGTCTAACTGCTCAAAAATGCCAGAGAAAACTAAGGTTCCTTTTTCATGTGTTAGTATAATGTCCCTAAATGAATACAGTGAACACTATTGAATATAGTGAATACTATTGAAGAATAAATCACAGCAAGTCTTCTGTCAACATAATCTTAAAAAGAAAGTCTTCTCTTCATCTGTAATCCAAAGTAATCTGGGTCTAATGTAAAAGTTTTGTTGACCTTTCTCCTTTTGACATTTTAGGGAGGGAGAAAAGACTTGAATATCCACCCAGTTAAGACAATATCTGTAAAAAATTAATCTGCTTTTCTTTATGGAAACATTGCAAAATCCATAGGAATCCAAATATGCAATTTGTTTTTCCTGATAATTTTACTAAAGGTGTTTAATTCATGTACAAGTACATGTCTATGTGAACCAGATTCCATCAGAATAAGGACAGGAAAATTATTTAAATGTTCTTTTAAAATCAGTATCCTTACGGATTCTCATAAATTAAAAAATACCACAAATATTATAAGTTGAAGAAATCTGGTTTTGGATTTCCTTCAGCAAACATAGAAACGTTTGGCTGCTTGGCTGAACTGATCTTCTAAATGTTTTGACTCCTTTCATCCTTCATATCATCAGGTTCTTAGTAGTACTGCTCATGGGACTTCTGCATATCTGCTTGGTAAAAAGAATGCAATTGTATGCTATTGGCTTAAAGACTACAGAAATATCCAGGGAATATTAGTGTAGGAGAATGTCCTTGTGTCCTTTTTGGACAGATAGGCCTATATATCTTGATTTTGTCCATTGTATAATTAGGTTTCCTGAGGGAACATTTTCTATTGAAAATTTGGCATGCAGTACAATAAATTATGCATGTGTTCTGGTAAAATGAAATAATTCAGTGCTGAGGCAGCTGGATGCTAATGCAGTTGTTTCTGTACAAAACTATTCAGACATTCCACCATGATATAACTATGCATTCTTTGCCATTCCTTATAGTGTTCGCAAAGGAAATACAAATCAAATTAATTAGAAAGTACCCCACCTCTTCAGCTGTTTGTTCAAGGAATGTAGAATCTATGAGAAAGAGCTAGAGTCATAAGTTTTAGCCCTTCCATTAGTGAAATATGCTGGAAAAAATGCATATAGGAGTATTTACCATAAAAAGAAAAGTTATATTGATGCATCTTTGTTTTTTTTAATATTAGTCTCTTCACTGTTTCGTGATGCAGGAATTACCTTGTAGCATTGAGAGAGTCTATGAATTCTGTAAGAGTGTAATTTTTTGCTGATGACTGTAGAGTCTATGACTTATTTGTGCTGGACGTCATACCATTTTGATTTCTTTATTCTTTTTTTTTTTTTTTTTTCCCCCACAGACATCTTTAATGAAAGAGATAATTGTCCTTACGTTTATAATACAGACCAGAGTGATACAGATGGTGATGGAGTTGGTGATCAGTGTGATAACTGTCCGCTAATGCATAATCCAGACCAGGTAAATGTTAGGTACCGCTTAAGTAATGATGAGGTCAGAACAAGGACAAAGAAAAGAAGAAAAATATCTGAGGAAATAGCTGAAGCTATTTCTCTTGCTATTTCATAGTACGGGTAGACTGAAGGAAGTGTGCTGCATACATGCACCCAATATCTTCACGTCTGCTCTTACCACAGTAAATAACATTGATTTAAAGTGTTTAAAGATGCACTTTCAGATATAGAAATCCAAGACAAAGCTACTGGGGCTGGAGAGGCTCTGGGGTAGAACACGCCTTGCTTTACTTGCACCTATAAACCACAGGATTCTTGTATGGTACAGTTTTAAGTTATTAGTGTGTGGCTATAGATTTGGAAATTGAGTGATATAAAATGGTTCTTATTCCTGTGGATTCTTTGCCCAAAAGAAAAGGGCCAGGAAAGCAAATTGGTAGAAACCCCAGTGTTTGTCTAAGGATACAGAACAGTTCAGAAGGGTAAAAGGTAAGAACAAGGGAAGTAAACTTTTTTTTTTTTTTTTTTTTTTTTTTAACAGTTAATGTTCTGGAATTTAGAACAATGCAGAGATAATGAATTTGCCTGATTGTAGGATTCATAGTGTAACTGAGTTCAACTGCAGTCTTTCAAATTATAAAAAAAAAAAACAAAAAAAAAACAAAAAACAAAACGAACGTATCAATCTGGATTATGTGTGAGATGCACAGATTACACAGAACTGAATTATCTTGGAATAACAAATTGACATGAGGGAATATTTGTCATTTGTCTTGCATGCTATCATGCACACTCCCCCATGACAAGTCAGAACAGCTTCATGGCTTTATTTAGTATGCTCAGATTTGTTGGTCCGCATGCAGGAAAGTAACATCAAGTGTTATAGAAGCAGTCAGATAAATGCCTGGACTGCAATTCCCACATGATCTGTAGAATGAAAACAATGACAGTCATGGCCAAAGGCCTGCCCTGGAAATAGGTTAGAGACCAGGTCTGATGCTTTGACAGTAGCGTAAGTAGCTATACTCTTTCAAAATAACATTTTTACTTTTAAGCATGGTTATCATCACAGTACCACTTGTCTGCAGAGAAGTCTTGAAGAGAAATTTTGGAAAATTAAGTACCAGGCTACTGTTATTGGTATTTGATGTGCTTAATAAAAGTCACACGCTTGCTTCTTTTGGTAGACTGATGCAGATAATGACCTTGTTGGTGACCAGTGTGACAACAATGAGGACATTGATGAAGATGGCCACCAGAACAACCAAGATAACTGCCCTTACATTCCCAATGCTAACCAGGCTGACCATGATAAAGATGGTAAAGGGGATGCCTGTGATCCTGATGATGATAATGATGGTATTCCAGATGACAGGGACAATTGTCGCCTCAGATATAACCCTGAGCAGGAGGACTCTGATGGTAAGAACAATGTTACATCAACTTAATTTAGTCCTTAGTATCCAGTTCTGTCTTTGAGGTAGTAATTTTTGAGGAAAATGAAGTCTCTTGAGAACGAGCCGACTTATGACAGTTCAGTCAGTTGAGACTTGAATGGAACTGCTCTAGCTCTGGGCCAAATTAGACAACCTCTTTTTGAGAGGGTCTTGAACACACTTGTGTATTTATAGGTAAATACCTGTCCGAATTTTTTTTGAGCGTTTTCGTATTCATTTTAGTCTTGAAATGAGATGTAAGAGGAAAACCTAGAAACTTAAGACATTTAAAATTAAAACTGAAATGGAAGAATGATATCCTTTGTTTTCAAAACAAGCTGTTTTCTGACAATGAATATAGAAAAAATACAGTCTACTGCTGTTTTTTTTTTTTTTTTTTTCAAAAGCTGTCTATTACTTAAATGTTTAACTCAAAAATTAATATTGATTTTAAGTTATTTTTCTAGTATGTATTTCTTAGGTGCTTTTCTCAAAATCATTTTATAGGTAAGTAGCTTTAAAAATATTTTGGTAATATATGTGTCACTGTGTAAGAAATAGATACATAATTCTTCCCTTCTCCAGTTCTTGCCCTAAAACATTGCTCGGCACTTTCCAACAATCCTTCTTTGTGTTTGGTGGTATTTCAGTAATGAAATAGTGACATTTTACAGTCACAAATGTCATTTATGAAGCATCTGATCCTTTGAAAACCTTGAATGTTGTAGGTCTCCAATAATTAGCCTTTAAATAAATACTTGAGCAATTTCTGTTCGGAATTATACAATTTACTGGAGTCACTGCATACTTATGTTGGTGAAAATGAAAGCAGAATTTGGTACCAACATAATACGGTTTTATGTACATTTAGAAAGACAAAATCCTGTGTCCTGAGTGATTCTCTGGTAAGACAATTGCTGATGTCAGAAACAACCGGTTTGTTTGGTATCAGCAGTAGCACTTTACCCTGTAGTCAAATCAGGTAATAGAAACATCTTTGTAATTGCTAGTTTCTGGAAAAGCCTCTTACTTATAGAAATATTCCAAAATAAGGGTACCTCCAAATTGGCGTAATTTGTTTTAGCTGTCACCTGGGTCTTTTGAGTGAGTATGCATTGTGTTTGGTGTAAGTATTTACAAAAAGAGTAAATTTTAAACAATTTAGCCAGCTCATCACTGTCATCAGTGGCAATCCCAAGAGAAATATTGGAAAAATGATAAATAAAGCCAAAATATGCTCCCATGCTCTTGACAATGTGAACTACATCATTTAAAGATGAGGCCTCTGAGAGAACTGTTGGATGTGGCTGGGTAAACAAATGCTTTCTAACTCTTCTTGACATAGTCAATGTTGTCATCAACAGCTCAGTACCAAATGGCTGTCAGCAGGGTATTCAGTGAATAATTAAATTATCCTATGACTCAAGAACTCTTTGATTAACTCTTTGATACTGGCAAGAGCAATACAATTGGAAATTCACTTTTTCTCTTTAAGTGCTAAGATAAACAGGTGCAGGGACACACAGCTGGTCAGGATTCTGTGTTCTTTAGGGCCAATTGCCAGAGTGAGAAGTTGGACTATTTTACAATGTAGCTGAACTACTAGAAGTCTTTGAATTGTTAAACTCTTTAGCTTTCCCTAACTACCCTTTTTGGCTGTAGCCTAACTCTTGTTCTACTTTTTTTCTGAAAGCTTTGTACTTGAAAAATGCTGTGCTCATTAGGCGTAGTAATGCAGCTTTTCATTTGACTGTGTAGCATCTATTAGTATCTCCACAATTAATTGGTTGGATCATTGCTATTTTCCATTAAGTTAATTCCCAATTTCTTAAAGGAGTCACAAATACTTTTTAAAAAGCAGATGCACAGACTTGTGAAGATAGAAATAAATTAGCTGGCAGTTCCAGTTTAGAATAGTATCCAGTTTAATATCCAGTTGTTTCTGCTGTAAAAGTCAGATATTTTTGAATTTGTTTTTGTACTTTCCTAAGTCATTCTTCAAGTGCTTGTTTTATTTAAGTAATATGTATGTCACATATGTTGACAGTGGCTTCATTGCTGAGAATTTTTTTTTATGCCTTCCTTCATCACTTGCTATTTCTGGCAAAATGCATTTACTGATTTCCTACCAATATCATGTGTAAATTAAGGAAGAAGGTATTTATTTTAGTACTGAATGTAGTAACTGTAGCTGCACTACGTGGATGCATTTTAGATCGTCTAAAAAGCTTCTTCTATTTCATATGACAACTTAATGTCTCCAAGGCTAGTCCTCCTGTACATAGTAATTCCTTGTTTTCTTGCATTTTCCTAAAGTGCTATTTTTTATCTAAAACAGATTGTTCTACTCAGAAGTGAAAGAGTAACTAAACATGTTTACATATATTACTGTAAATGCACTGGGTGGATTGTTGCTGTGCAAATCCTCAGACAGATTTAGAAAGTCTTAAAGTCTTCGATACTATATAGGGATTTAGTAATTTGTAGTAGGACAAATGTTTTAGCATGTGCAGCATAAATTAATTCAAATAATACTAAAATGTGGTCTTGCATCAGATCATAAAATCAGAATGGCTTGGGTTGGAAGGGATCTTAAAGCCTATGCAGTTCCAACCTCCCTACCATGGGCAAGGACACCAGATCAGGCTGCCTTGGCCCCGGTCCAACCTGTCCTTGAATGCCTCCAGAGATGGGGCATGATCTGGGACTGAATCATACTGAAAATATAATACAAGTGTTAGTGAATTATATCAGCATAGGAAACTTCCAAGTTTCCCATTGCTGATTCTGAAGCACTGTATATAGACTAGCATCCAGATTGATCACTGTCATGAACCACTGATGGGATGTGTTTATTAGAAGGAATTTTGGCCTGGATCCAGGTTGATGACTTACTCCAGTCATTACCAGCAACATATCAAATGTTAATTTGAAATGAGCTTCTAGAGAATGAAACTCTGTGTAAAGCATTCTTTGAAGAACGAGAAAATGATACACTCATATGCATCATAAATTTCTTCCATTAGTACCAGGGCAGTAGATAGAGTGGTTAAATTGCTAACAATTGCATTTCCTTATTGCTTTTACTTACAGGTGATGGCAGAGGTGATATTTGCAAAGATGACTTTGACAATGACAATGTTCCAGATATTTTTGATGTATGTCCTGAAAATAATGCCATCAGTGAAACTGATTTCAGAAAGTTCCAGATGGTCCCTCTGGACCCCAAGGGAACAGCTCAGATTGATCCCAACTGGGTTATTCGCCACCAAGGCAAGGAACTGGTGCAGACTGCCAACTCTGATCCTGGAATAGCTGTAGGTGAGTATCAGATTATCAGATCAGTAAGCCAGCATCTTTGGGGAAGAAAGCAGTGGTCTATTGATCAAGAAGATAATAATAAAAATGGTCATATATTTTAGTATTCCAAGGTTGGGACTGAAACTTGAGGTTTATACATCCAAATTAAAAACAGCTCAGTGCTGTTTGGTTTTGTTAACCATTCAGCTTGTCACTGACTGTAACACAGGTGAAATATCCAGTTGAAGAACTTGACATAAGCGTAGTACCTGCTGCCTTAACCACTTCTGGTAAATTACTTATTTTTCTCTAGAGTCTCCATAGGGTAGATAAGCAAGTGAAATTACTCCTTTCTTAGAGACTAGAAACAGAAAAAGCAAAAGTCGGAATCAAAGCTAGGACTCCAAAGTGTTGGTAACCAGACCCAGCGTTGTAACTCAATGATTCTTGTCTTGTGTCTTCTCTCAGGTTATGATGAGTTCAGCTCTGTTGACTTCAGTGGCACATTCTATGTTAACACAGACCGTGATGATGACTATGCTGGCTTTGTTTTTGGCTACCAGTCCAGCAGTCGGTTTTATGTTCTAATGTGGAAGCAAGTCACTCAGACATACTGGGAGGACAAACCCACCAGGGCTTATGGCTATTCTGGTGTGTCGCTCAAGGTAGTGAATTCAACAACTGGTACTGGTGAACACTTGAGAAATGCTCTTTGGCATACAGGAAACACCCCCGGACAGGTGAGAGATTTAAAACTTCAGCACTGTGGTGCATGATGAATCATTTAACACCTCAATTGTTGCAAAAAAAAACCAAACAAACAAACAAAGAAACAAAAAAAAAAAACAACAGATTTGTTTTTCAGTTCACATGTAATAGCGCTTGCCTTGTTTCAAAGAGAACATTACACATATAAAAATTATGAATGGAAAAAATTACATGTGTAAAAGGGAGGGTGTGGTGTGATCCTAAAATGAGTAAAAGATCTCAGTTCTCCACAAATCCTTTGTGACCTTGGTATTGGCACTTGATCCTTCAACATTCCAGCTTGTTTAAATTAAGCTGGGTTTATGCTTCAGCAACCAGTGAGAACAAAAAAAAAAAAAAAAAAAAAAAGCAAGAAAAGAAAAATTACTGCTGTTCCAAGGAGGGCCCGGCCACAGGAGAATCTTGTGCCTTTTGGAAATGAAGCTAATGGAGCTTTGCACATGAATAGAAATTTCACAGTTTGGAGTTCTTGGAGGAATGAGGCCTTGGCCAAGTGTGAGAGTTTTCAAGGAATAATCTCAAGGCAGTAACTGTGAAGCTGTGGCCCCTTTTAATCAGAGGAGTCATTTGGATAGGAAAAGCAACATCAGATCTTATAGTGTGGATGTCTATGTGCAAACAGGGACGAGACTACATAGTTAAAGAAGTGAACTTTCATTACTCTTGATAAAGAAGAATAAATTGAAGAAGTATGCTGGTCATAACATAACACAGTTAAATACTGTTTTTCGTTTCGTGCTCTGTCGAAAATAATCTGTGGCTGTATATTGTCACTGTAGTGGGTGCATAGTTGCTGAAGCACAGTGTTTCTAATACAGCATTTGTGTTCCTAATGTAGGTGCGCACTTTATGGCATGATCCTAAGAATATTGGCTGGAAAGATTATACTGCATACAGGTGGCATTTGATTCATAGGCCTAAAACAGGACTAATAAAGTAAGAAATATTTCTGTGCCTCTATTTTTTAATAGCATAACTTTGGTCTCCGATGTAACAGCTATTTTTTCAAGTTCTGTGCTAGCTCTGATAATGATGATGCTTACATGACAGTTTGTTTCAATATTTAGGGAATTGTTTTGTTAACTTATTTTCCCTTTCAGATGTGTTCAATTAGTGGGTATTTACATCAGCTAAACATTCTTAAATTAAAAAAAAATAAATTAAAAATCTCTCTCAATGGCTCTATTGCAAAGGAATGGAAACTTCCTAAGAAAAACTCAAAGCAGGGTTAGAACATGAGATTCCTTCCCAGCTTCTGGAATTTGAAAGAATGAAATTAATTAGAAACATCAGAATTGCCACAGGGAAGTAGGCCAACCTTCTGTCTATTTCAGCATCCTGTCTCCAGTAGTGAAGAAGTAGCCATAAGCACATCTGCAATAACAAGGAGCTATGGCATATTAGTTATGGCATATTAGTTTACTAATATTTGATATTATGAACATTGACTGTCTCAATTTTATCTTGAACTAAGTACTGTAACTATAAAGTGTGTTTTTTCAATGAGGTAGTCCGATCTTTTGAGGTCTTGTTACTTTGTGTTGAGTATGAGTAGGGATGTTGAAATATAGACAAATTTAGTTAGTCTATTTTATCCAGTTTTCAGGAAAAATATTTCTTCATCTAAGTCTTCATGCTGCAGCATATATACTGATACAGGTAAAAAAGAAATTTTTTTTTTTTTTCCATTCATGTTGCTGTTGCCTGTGTCCTTTTTTGTAGAATCTACGTAGAGTCAGACAAAATATATTTCAAATGGTATCCAACTAGATTAGTCTAGCATGAAGAATTCTGTGATCTGGAGCATTAGATTCCTTCATTACCTAGGGCATTTTTTAATAGGAAATAAATAAATGTGGGTTCAGTGGTTTCATTATGCTGCAGGGCTTCCCCGGGTTCTCTTGCTGGAAAGGCAAATGACATGCAGACTTGTTTGCAGGTGCAGAACAAAAGGCATTTATTCTAGTTGCTTACCTGCTTTTATATCCAAGCAGCACAACGGTTTTCCTGCACAACCAAGACTGGTTACATCTAAGTGTTAGGCGCCTTGTAGGTGTAGATGTCTGCCTCAAGTTATTGTTGAGCTTTACCACTTGTTAGCAATACAACAACCTTCTTTATCCCACGTCATTATGGAACTACATTGTTTGTACAGACATAGCAATTTAATATTAACATATTTAGATCTGTGTAGTATTTTTGGCTCTGCTGTAATCAATAGACCATAAGCTCACTTCATGTTTGGCTATTTTAAGATACTTCAGTACTTAAGAACCTTGACTGTCCAAGGTGAGAAGCAGAAAGTCTAAGATAGAGTAACTACAACCTATCTGGTAGAAAAGGAAAATGAAGAGTTCTTTTAGCTCTTGGGTGGGTGTCTCAGATGCTCAAGAAAAAAATAAATCTTCCTTTTCCAGTTCATGAATTCAGCTGTTTCTGTCCAAATTCTTGCAGCTTTCGTTAAAGGCTTAAGATGTCTGAAATAAAAATTAAGCATGGCTCCAGTTAATGTTTCTTTGACTCTAAAGGGATGGTTCTTCCAATTTGTGACTTTGGCCTTTGCACCAAGAAGTAAATAAATCAGTCATTCACATAGCTGTAAAGACAACTTTCTTTTAACCTCTGAGTTCACAGGGATAGAGGCTTATCAATGAATACATACTCATGTCTCCTGGTATGAACTGTTCTAAATGAAGAACTGGGAAATCTCTTGCAGATGGTGTGCATAAAATTACTTACAGAACAGCTCCAATACTTCTGATTAATGTATTGTGGCTGCCAGCCATGTGGTCATGAGATAGAGATGAGAAGTGATCCTTACAGTGAAGTAGTTATCTGGTGACTAGCTAAAATTAATTTTGATTTAATTCTTGGAAGCTATTACTATCCTTTAGCAATGGACACTCCATCATTTTCTTAGTTTAATTTATTACTTTTTTTTTTTTTTTTTTTTTTTTTTTTTACAGAGTTCTAGTGTATGAAGGGAAGCAAGTCATGGTGGATTCTGGACCAATCTATGATACAACCTTTGCTGGCGGACGATTAGGTCTTTTTGTCTTCTCTCAAGAAATGGTCTATTTCTCTGACCTCAAATATGAATGCAGAGGTTAGTTATAGAAAATGTCTGGAAAATGCTGATGCCTTTGATATCCTATGGAACAAGCACATAATATGGAAATGAAGAATATCCTCCTTTAACTGAAAACAATCTGTAATCTTACAGCCTGTCATGAACCTGTTTGTTGAAATACCATGGATGCCCTTTGCCTCTGTAGTAATCTCAATTTGAATAATAAAACCCAGATGTTTAATATTGCCCACCTGGAAAAAAAAATAAGATAAATCTCTGAGTGGGATACACGCTTATAATTTTCTTTGCATATCCACTTTCCTTTGTAGGCTATTTCAGTGTGTCCTGCGGGCAGAGTGCTGCTTCTGGATCACTCCTCTTTCCAAGAGGGAAAGAGAGAGTAGGCATTAATGAGCATGTCTCTGTATCTTGCCTGTTCAAAAATGTTTTGAAATATGGAAAATGTTTTCCCAGGCTTTCTTATGTGATTTTTTAATTATTATTATTCACAGAGGTAGATACATGTACACAAACAAGTGCATCTCTATCTACATATGTAGATGACTACCTATTTTTATGTAAATGTTATCATGTTCGTAGGATAATGCAAAATGGGAAACTTTGTGCTGCAATCCTTATATTGTACCATGATGGATCTCTCCTCCTTTCTGACTGAATCTAAACCAGTAATATAACAATTAATACCTTTTTCTGTTTCTTTCAGATGCTTGAGCAATGGTTGCTGCATTACCAGCAAAGTACTGTAAATGCTATGCAACCTAGACACCTCAGTACATCCTGGTACTCCCTTTTTTTTTATTTTTCATTTTTCTGTACCTCCTTCCTTGTCCTCTGTCCACATGCTCCAGTGACCAGGAATGCTCCCTGCTGCCAGGAATGCCTCAGCCATCCCTCCACCCAAGTGCCTTCTCACAGCCAGGACTAATGAAACCTAAATGTGAGCGTCTGACCCACCACAGAAGCAAAAGCAGATTGATACTTCAGAACGCTTTTCTAGAGTGACAATTTAGCAGAACATGTTTGCTTGTATTATCTAAAGGAGTAAGATATGAAAATGTGTATTTATATATATATATGGGAAAGAAAAAGGGAAGATGATAATTATCAGTCATCTTCTTTAAATGAGGAAAAGCAGTGTTTGAATAACTTTATAGGTATATGGTTGATGCTTTCTTCTTTTGATCAGGGCTGGACTTCACTAACAGAACCTCTGGGTAGTAAAGTAACAGGTGACCACACGAATAGTGTCTATATTAACAATGAAGAAGCTTTTGGAGTATAAAGTGAAGGTTAATTGTGAAGATTTCTTGATTTGAGATGTCCTTTAGGTGATGAGGATGCTCTTAATAACTCCCATTAAAATTATAGTTGTTAGAAATGTCAGATTGGCAACCTAAAGTATTGCCTAGTATCAGAGAGTTCATTCAGGCCAAAGAGAACTGAACTGGAAACTACCATATGAAAGGGAAGAGTGATTCATTTAAGATTCCAAAGCTGTCACCACTGCCTGACTTGCATGAAATGATTTCCAGTTTTTTCATTTCCATTATGTCTTGTGTTCTTTCATAATAATTTAAAAAAAAAAAAAAAAAGTAATCACATGGCCATGTGGAGTGAAACAAGCCCAAACAACTTTCCCACCACTGTTATAAAAAGCACTTTGACATCTAGTATCCAGATCTGGGATTTTGAAAAGATGGCAACACAATTGTTACTTAATTTGGTAGTATAAGAGATTAAGGTTCCACTTATAAGTATTTTGTTAATATTTATTATGATTATCACACCAAGCAAACTTCTCTGATAATTTATTTTAAAGCATGTCATATGATGCATCAGTAATACATTAATGATATTCTAAAGTGTATCACAATATGTAGATATGGTCAAAGCATGATATACACCTAAGTATAATTTTGTCGGTTATATTCAAGTATTCTTTAAAATTAAATGAATAATAATGAAGAATTTATAAATGGAACCTTAATATATATCCTGTTACCTTAAGTTTATTATCTTACATTGTTACCTATGTCTGCTGTATATAGAACTTCTTAAAATAATGCTGAAGGGCTACCAGTGTTTATTCTAAACAGATAAAACAGTTATTCAGATATACAATAGTATAAACGTGTTTAGCATTTTGTTTTAAGTTGTATGAGCTTTGTTCACAAAAAGACACTTGCTGGTGTAATTTTATTCATTGATGAATTTACTAATGGAATAGGATGTTATCTCTGCCTTCTTATTGGGTGCAATGAGCTAAATATTGAATCAACTTTTTCTTCCTTGAAATAGATTTTATTGCTATGTTCAATTAGAAAGAAATCCACAGTTGCTGGCTTTGTTGCACATTTTATAGTGGTCATACTATCAAATCTACTTTGGCTGGTTGTTTTCGGTGGTTGTTGTTTTTTCCAAATCCTCTTCATGAGGTTTTGAAGTGTGTTTCAGTTTCTTTTGGTGTTTCAAATTGTATCCCTGAGTCCCAAGCAGAAGGGAGGGTGACTTCATTAAATGTAATGGTTGTAATGGCTGTGTAGGGTTTTTTGTTTTGTTGAATAGAGACATCAGTATAGGGATGAAGATGTTAATATTTGGACTGTATCATGTTTCCTATTCTATGTAAATTATTTATGATGTTTTTCTTTTATTTCTTTCTCATTTTTTTCTTTGCAAGTGTGTGTGTGTGTGTGTGTGTGAGAGAGAGAGAGAGAGAGAGAGAGAGAGATTAATGAAATTTCATTTTGTTTTGCCAAAGATTGTAAATAATTATTTATTTGTTTACATGGACGGAAATTTATCATTTAACGTCCTGATTCATTTAGTCAGATCCTCATCTATCTATCTATCTATATATATTTTTAAAGAAATTAATGATAGGAAATAAACTGTAAAAAGGTTTTATAAAAAAAAAAATCTCTTTACCTTTTTTATAGTTTAAATGCTTCTTTAAAGGAATATTCCATTCCCCAAGGCCCTTTGTTAGATAACTTCTTGCCTTGCTATAAACCAGCTCATTTTAAACTGACCAATAAATCTGCTGCTTGGCTACAGCTTGACAGTTGTCTTCTCAGATTATAAATGACAGGTTTCCTACTCGCATTGACAAGAGACATGGTTCCACATAATACCTTGTCTGGCAAACTTTCTCAAGTTTTACTTGTTGTGAGTGAGAAATTTTGGTCCTATTTTTTTGTTGTTGCATTTGTATACACATTTCTAGTTTGGATCTTGGCTGATGCATTTGAACAAATACATGATCCTGGTCTGCAGCTGCTTCTGCTGCATGTCCCATTTAAGTCACTGGGATATGTTTGCCTGAGCAAGGATTGCCTTCCTGCTGGAGACTTTCAGGAATGAGTGCTTAGTAATAACTCAGAGTAAGATACGAAATATTCTTAGCATGAGAGGTCTTCACCATCACTATGAACCCCTCCCAGGAGGGGTATTTGAAATGGATTAGGAAAAGTCAGAATGTCCTGCATGTCAAAATGCCACTTTTGAGGTATGAACTGTAGTCATCTCCTCTTGCAATTAATACTAGCTATTGATTTTCCTCGGCCTGCCTAATGGTGTGCAACTGTTTGCTTTCCTTTGCTTGTGCTTCCAGTGTGCCAAAGCTGGAGTATTCAAACCATTACACAAGAAAACCATATACTCCACAGTACCATCTTTTGATGAATCCTTTAAGCTAATATAAATATCCAGGCCTGATGAGAGTGGCTCTTTTCTGTTTATGCTGCAAAGATGAAAGTGATTGGCATTGTTTGGGTAATACAGTAATCAAGATCTTTGTTACCTATGTTCTCAAGAGTCTCTTATAGGCATCTATGAGAACAAGGTTATTGTTAGTTTTGGGAATGAATGCTTTCTAATGACTTGAAAAGAATGAAGGGGGGAAAAAGACTCTTCATGGCAATCAAACCAAAATCTCCCAAACAGACCCAGGGAAATAAAACTATTAAACAAGTGAAACCATGGCAACACTGCACTACTGCATTACTAACAGTGTCTCCAAGAAAAAAAGAAGCGAATGGAGGACCAAAAAAAGCAGTAACACTTCCTGAACTCTCTACTTAGATCTCCATACAGATTTTTGAAAATGTTCATGAATATTTGGATAATTTTGGAAAAATTAATTTTAAATTTTGGCAGCCTCTGCAATTCTTGTTCCCAGAGTCATAGGGTTACGAAAAAAGGCCTGAAATCCCTGGAAAGAAGCTGATTTTTTGATTAAGGGGAGACGGTGGTGGGGCCTGGAATCCTTTGGATGTCAGGGGGAAATTCTTTAAAGAGAGAGTGGTGAAGTGGTGGAACAGGCTGCCCAGAGAGGTTGTGGATGCCCTGTGGAGGTGGATGTGGAGGTGTTTAAGAGCGGATGGGGCCCTGGGCAGCCTGGTCTAATATTAAATGGGGAGGTTGGTGGCCCTGCATGTGGCAGGGGAGTTGGAGATTCGTGATCCTTGAGTTCCTTTCCAACCCTGGCCATTCTGTGATTCTATGACCTGGACTCCAATTCTGCTACTGACTTGTATGACACTACACAGACTTCTTTTTTTTCTTTTTGTTTCTGTGAGCATCAGGATCCCATCTAACAATCAGTGATCAAATTTCCTTCCCTTTTAAGATCCTTCTGGTAAGTTTTATGTATCTTACTGTTTCTGAGTCAGATAAAAGAGTAGGAAACACTAAAATCCTGAAACCCCTGAGAGAAATTCTTGCCCAATTTTAAAACAAGTGTTTTTCAGATAAGCTTTGGATAAAACTCTGATTTCTGAAAAATAATGATAAACTCACTTCAGAATTTGTCAATCTTAATAATATGTTTACATTGACTTTTCCAGAAAGAAAGGAAAAAGTGCACCTAACCACTGTACCTGTTATTTCTCATGTCAGGTAGCAGAAATATTAGCATCATGAATGCTTACATCTGCATCTACTACTTGCTGGAGTCAGAAGTTGAGTAGACTATCAGAGTCAGTGGGCCAAATCCTCAGCTTGGGATATGGATGTTTTCCTACAGACGTGAATGTTATCTGGATGAGATTCAGGGTTCTGCCTGTGCTGCAAACCTCCATAGAGGAAGAGCTGTAATACACATATGGGAACATCTGTTCTCTAAAGTGATTTAAAAAATAATATGTAATAATTTGGCACAGTCTTGTTCCCAATATGGAGAAGACCACCCTTGTAGATCAGGAAGAGGGACTTCGAAGCAAAAGAAACGTGGGATTGATTAAGCCAAAGGTCCATCTTATCCATTATCCTACTTCTTGAAAGCCGCTAGTCCCAAATGTGCCAAAGGAGAGTGTAAAATTCTAATCATTAAAAATTATACATCCATATGCCTGGAGGAAAAATAATGTTCCTACCCCCAGGCAGGTAACATGAGGTGTTTTATGCTTTCTTGCCTCTGTGGCTTATGTTACAATAATGTAACTGCAAATGTTCTTATTATTTATATATATATATATATATTTTTAATCCCACTTCTTGACTTTAGTAAAATCTACTTTTGAATTCATGATGTTGATTATGCATGATACACAGTATAATTTTCCTTTTGATAATTTCAGATCTGTTACTGTTTAGTTTTGTTTTTTTTCAATCTGTTTCTCGCAAGCTTTGGGAAGGAGAGAAATACATACATTTCATCATAAAACTTTGTGTAAAAAAAAAAAAAAAACAACCACAAAACCTATGATATTTTGCTCTGCTCTTTTTCTCTGTGTGCTTGCCTTGGTAATGGGATCAAGAAATACATCAAAGGTAGAAGAATGTTCACTGCTTGCTGCCATAAGCTGCAGTGTGTAGTTCTCTTCATGTCACTTTTTCCCATGTCTCTCTGTCCAGCTCTGTGGAGTCTCATTATAACATGTACATACACATATATAATATATACATTTTGCAAAGAATGAAAATTACTTTGTGCTTGTTTTATTTTCAGTGCTTTTCCTACCCACCTGCTGCTGGCCATTGTTGGAATCTGGCAAGTGAGTTGGACACTGGATGTTTTACAGTCTTATTCTGTCAATGACCGTTGATCATTATCCAGTCATCTTGATATTTGTAGAGCTAGACAGGAACATGTTTATTGCTCTTCTTTTAGAAGGAAGTGAATTCCTTTTCAGACATCTGCTGAGCATTTCTGGTCTCCTTTCAGCACCACAGAATGCACCAGCAGCCTCTAGATGCTGGAGGCATGTGTTGCAAATCACACTTAAAATCTCAGCAACATCTGTAGTAAGGTAACTTGTAACTTGGAAATGGGTTTTAGACATCAAGATTTCATAGTCATTCAGTAACTTTCAGGAGATAAGGACTTGACATTCCATTTGTCAACTGATCTTCTTTCCTTAAATAATGTTGACACAAAGGGAGAAGGTGGAAAGCTGCAAGCACTGTCAACTGCTTCATTGGATATTTTTTGACCAACATCCTTTTATGTATGTGAAAAAAATGAAAGACAGAATTATCAGTTTTATTCCAGGCAGAATTTCCTCAGATAATGTCTTCTAATTATTCATTCTAGTTCTCTTTCTGGAATTTCTGCTGCTACTCACTTGAAAGTAGCAACAACAACCAACAGAAAAAAAATTAGAACAGGATGAACCTGTGATAGACAGACAGTGATTCAAGTTATAGGGAGCCAATCAGAGTATTCAAAAAAACGAGGTTCAGGAGCAGTGGAAACCAATTGTGAAGACATTCCTTACTGGTAAGTCTTATATACTGGGAGGTGAAGCATGGACCCCAAATAAATTAATCTTTCCTGAGTACTGAAGATTCAGCTACACTGCCTGCTCTAGGAGTTTGCAGTCAGAAGTAAAGGACCACCCAAATGGAGCTAATTCAGAGGGTTTAACTATACTCAACAGTTCAACTTTGATACTGAAGAAGTGAAGACAACGTCTAGAGTTGATCCCAGTGTTGTGCAGCAGATTGTTTTCTCAACTGCAATTCAGTTGCAAAGAGACTGGCAATTGCTCTTTGAGACAAAACCACTTACTCATTTAAGACAGAAGTTCTTATGCTTGTAAAGGAGACCAGAAGCTGAGAAGAAAACAAAACTTTGTTAATTGTTAAAGTTAATTAAGATTTGCATAATTTTCAAAGAAATAGAACATCCAGAGGCAGTAAAGTGGCTGAGATCACATCCAAATAAAAGGAAAAATCTTGGTTCTAATGAAGTGCAGAAAAAAGATACTAATAAAGGGAAAGGTGACTATGCATTAATATTTTTTTCATTAATATGATGAGAGGAAAAGTACAAATGAGCTGCAGAAAGCAGGAGCTGGCACTTGCAGCATGATCCTACCTGAACATTTGTGACAGCCAAAGAAATATTCAAGGTAAGTAATTCTGCCTTCCACTGTCCTCATGCTCAAGCCTTTACAGAGGAGAGAGGGAAAATAAGCTCTTCAGGCACAGAGGTTTGCAGATCAGTTACATGACTGCTATGGTACCTGTATTTAAAATACTCTTCCCTCTCTATATAAATATTTCTATAGTATGAGATTTAGCACCTAAGTATTGTGCTTAAGATTTAAATCTTTTTTTATGATGCATATAGACAAAA